TGGGGTCCCCTATAACCCATCCTATTGGGAGCCAACAACCCCCTCATCCTCCTGGGTTCCCCTTTGGGGTCCCTTTTGGGGTCCCCTATAACCCATCCTATTAGGACCCAACACCCCCTCATCCCCCCATGTTCCCATTGGGTTCCCCTATAACCCGTCCTATTGGGACCCAACACCCCCCTCATCCTCGTGGGTTCCCCTTTGGGGTCCTCATTCTCCCTTTGGGGTCCCCTATAACCCATCCTATTAGGACCCAACACCCCCCTCATCCCCCTGTGTTTCCCTTTGTGGTCCCCATTGTCCTTATGGGGTCCCCATTGTCCCATTGGGGTCCCCTATAACCCATCCTATTGGGACTCAACCCCCCTCATCCCCCCGTGTTCCCCTTTGGGGTCCCCTATAACCCATCCTACTGGGACTCAACCCCCACCTCATCCCCCCATGTTCCCATTGGGGTCCCCTATAACCCATCCTATTGGGAGCCAACAACCCCCTCATCCTCCTGGGTTCCCCTTTGGGGTCCCCATTGGGGTCCCCTATAACCCATCCTATTGGGAGCCAACACCCCCCTCATCCTCCTGGGTTCCCCTTTGGGGTCCCCTATGACCCATCCTATTGGGAGCCAACACCCCCCTCATCCTCCTGGGTTCCCCTTTGGGGTCCCCATTGGGGTCCCCTATAACCCATCCTATTGGGAGCCAACACCTCCTCATCCTCCTGGGGTCCCCATTGGGGTCCCCTATAACCCATCCTATTGGGACCCAACACCCCCCTCATCCTCCTGGGTTCCCCTTTGGGGTCCCCATTGGGGTCCCCTATAACCCATCCTATTGGGAGCCAACACCCCCCTCATCCTCCTGGGTTCCCCTTTGGGGTCCCCATTGTCCCTTTGGGGTCCCCCCCCTCATCCCCCCTTTGGGGTCCTTATTGGGGTCCCCTATAACCCATCCTACTGGGACCCAACACCCACCTCATCCCCCCATGTTCCCATTGGGGTCCCCTATGACCCATCCTATTGGGAGCCAACACCCCCCTCATTCTCCTGGGTTCCCCCTTGGGGTCCCCATTGGGGTCCCCTATAACCCATCCTATTGGGACTCAACCCCCACCTCATCCCCCCATGTTCCCATTGGGGTCCCCTATAACCCATCCTATTGGGAGCCAACAACCCCCTCATCCCCCTGTGTTTCCCTTTGTGGTCCCCATTGTCCTTTTGGGGTCCCCCGCCTCGTCCCCCCATTGGGGTCCCCTATAACCCATCCTATTGGGAGCCAACAACCCCCTCATCCTCCTGGGTTCCCCTTTGGGTCCCCATTGGGGTCGAATATGACCCATCCCATTGGGACCCAAAGATCCCTTCATCCCCCTTTGGGGTCCCCATTGTCCCATTGGGGTCCCCTATGACCCATCCTATTGGGAGCCAACAACCCCCTCATCCTCCTGGGTTCCCCTTTGGGGTCCCCTATAACCCATCCTATTGGGATCCAACACCCCCCTCATCCTTCTGTGTTTCCCTTTGGGGTCCCCATTGGGGTCCCCTTTAACCCATCCTATTGAGACCCAACACCCCCCTCATCCCCCTGTGTTCCCCTTTGGGGTCCCCATTGGGGTCCCCTATAACCCATCCTATTGGGATCCAACACCCCTCTCATCCCCCCGTGTCCCCTTTGGGGTCCCCATTATCCCACTGGGGTCCCCTATAACCCATCCTATTGGGAGTCACGCCCCACCTCCTCCCCCCATGGTCCCATTGGGGTCCCCTATAACCCATCCTATTGGGTCCCAACACCCCCCTCATCTGTGTTCCTGTGTTCCCTTTGGGGTCCCCCCCATTGGGGTCCCCTATAACCCATCCTATTGGGTCCCAACAGGCCCCTCATCCCCCCATGTTCCCCTTTGGGGTCCCCATTGGGGTCCCCTATAACCCATCCTATTGGGATCCAACACCCCCCTCATCTCCCCATGTCCCCTTTGGGGTCCCCATTGGGGTCCCCTATAACCCATCCTATTGAGACCAATCACCCCCCTCATCTCCCTGTGTTCCCCTTTGGGGTCCCCATTGTCCCTTTGGGGTCCCCCCCTCATCCCCCCTTTGGGGTCCCCATTGGGGTCCCCTATAACCCATCCTATTGGGATCCAACACCCCCCTCATCCTCCTGTGTTTCCCTTTGGGGTCCCCATTGGGGTCCCCTATAACCCATCCTATTGAGACCAATCACCCCCCTCATCTCCCTGTGTTCCGCTTTGGGGTCCCCATTATCCCACTGGGGTCCCCTATAACCCATCCTATTGGGACCCAAAGATCCCTTCATCCCCCTTTGGGGTCCCCATTGTCCCATTGGGGTCCCCTATAACCCATCCTATTGGGTCCCAACAGCCCCCTCATCCTCCTGTGTTCCACTTTGGGGTCCCCATTGGGGTCCCCTATAACCCATCCTATTGGGACCCAACACCCCCTCATCCCCCCTTTGGGGTCCCCATTGGGGTCCCCTATAACCCATCCTATAGGGACCCAACACCCCCTCATCCCCCCCTGTCCCCTTTGGGGTCCCTATTGGGGTCCCCTATAACCCATCCTATTGAGACCCATCACCCCCCTCATCCCCCCGTGTCCCCTTTGGGGTCCCCATTGGGGTCCCCTATAACCCATCCTATTGAGACCCATCACCTCCCTCATCCCCCCGTGTCCCCTTTGGGGTCCCCATTATCCCATTGGGGCCCCCTATAACCCATCCTCTTGGGTCCCAACACATGCTCCCCTTTGAGGTCCCCATTGACGTCCCATCCCATTGGTACCCATGATCCCCCCCATCACCCCCTCGTGTTCCCCTTGGAGCCATGGATGGATGAAGAAGAGGGGGGGGGGACCCAGGACACACACATAAAACAGGGACCCCAATCCTTCTCCTTTCCCCCCCCAACCCCAATCCAGGCACTGCAATATGGTGCTGGAGAACGTGAAGGAGATGTGGACCGAGGTACCCAAGAGTGGGAAGGGGAAGAAGAAGTCGAAGCCGGTCAACAAGGACCGGTACATCTCCAAGATGTTCCTGCGCGGGGACTCGGTCATCGTGGTCCTGCGCAACCCCCTCATAGCTGGGAAATAGGGGTCAGACCCCACTGCTGTATCCTGGATGGGGTGGGAATGGGATGGGATGGGGTGGGGATGGGATGGATGAACCCCCTTGGACTGCCTGGAACCCTTTTGGGAATGGATGGAACCCCCCCCCCCCCTTAAATCGAGAGTGCAAAGCACGCACCGGGATGCACTGGATTCATTGGGATGGGATGAACCCCTCTGGATTGCTTGGGATCCCCATTGGGATGGGATGAACCCCATTGGATTCCTTGGGATCCCCATTGGGATGGGATGAACCCCCCTTGATTCATTGGGATGGGTTGAACCCCTCTGGATTGCTTGGGAGCCCCATTGGGATGGGATGAACCCCCCTGGATTCCTTGGGATCCCCATTGGGATGGGATGAACCCCCCTTGATTCCTTGGGATCCCCATTGGGATGCGATGAACCCCCCTGGATTCCTTGGGACCCCCATTGGGATGGGTTGAACCCCCCTTGATTCATTGGGATGGGTTGAACCCCTCTGGATTGCTTGGGATCCCCATTGGGATGGGATGAACAGTTTGATTCCTTGGGATCCCCATTGGGATGGGATGAACCCCTCTGGATTCCTTGGGATCCCCATTGGGATGGGTTGAACCCCTCTGGATTGCTTGGGATCCCCATTGGGATGGGATGAACGCCCCTGGATTCCTTGGGATCCCCATTGGGATGGGATGAACCCCCCTTGATTCCTTGGGATCCCCATTGGGATGGGTTGAACCCCTCTGGATTCCTTGGGATCCCCATTGGGATGCGATGAACCCCTCTGGATTCCTTGGGATCCCCATTGGGATGGGTTGAACCCCCCTTGATTCCTTGGGATCCCCATTGGGATGGGATGAACCCCTCTGGATTGCTTGGGAGCCCCATTGGGATGGGTTGAACCCCTCTGGATTCCTTGGGATCCCCATTGGGATGGGTTGAACCCCCCTTGATTCATTGGGATGGGTTGAACCCCTCTGGATTGCTTGGGATCCCCATTGGGATGGGAGGAACCCCATTGGATTGCTTGGGATCCCCATTGGGATGGGATGAACCCCATTTGATTCCTTGGGATCCCCATTGGGATGGGATGAACCCCTCTGGATTGCTTGGGATCCCCATTGGGATGGGTTGAACCCCATTGGATTGCTTGGGATCCCCATTGGGATGGGATGAACCCCCCTTGATTCCTTGGGATCCCCATTGGGATGGGATGAACCCCCCTTGATTCCTTGGGATCCCCATTGGGATGGGATGAACCCCTCTGGATTCCCTGGGATCCCCATTGGGATGGGAGGAACCCTTTGATTCCTTGGGATCCCCATTGGGATGGGATGAACCCTTTGATTCCTTGGAATCCCCATTGGGATGCGATGAACCCCTCTGGATTCCTTGGGATCCCCATTGGAATGGGTTGAACGCCCCTGGATTCCTTGGGATCCCCATTGGGATGGGATGAACCCCCCCAGATTCCATGGTACAGCCCCAGCCCTGATGGAATCCCCCATATCCCCCCCCATACTGGACCCACACTCGCGCCCCACACTCCATCCTCAGCCCATGCCAGCCCCCCCCCATCTCCCTATGGGGACCCCCAACTCTTTTGCCCCCCCCCCATGCTCTCCCATAGGGGTCCCGTCCCCCCCCCCTTTACCCGCGATGGTACTGGCGGGAGAGGTGTGTATTTCCCGCGCTGGGCGCTTGGCACCGCCCCTTCTGAGGAGTGGTCCAATCAGAGGTGGTGTCCCCGTCCTGGCCACGCCCCCCAAGGCTCACTTTGGCGCCAGCGATTCCCGCTCGAGGTGGGGGGGGATTGGAAGTCCCGGAGCTGGAGCGGCCTCGGAACGGAGCCGAACGGGAGCGGGGCCTCCATGGGACCCGGGGCACCC